CTCTCCTTCTGGTGAAGTTTGAATAAAAATGTTTCAGACATTTTTAAAGAAAAGAGAACCTGGCAGGATAAACACATTTTCTCCTACTGAAAAAAATGTTTGCTAGAAAAGAGAGTTAATGGAGCCAACATAAACATGGAAACTGGCAATTTATCTTTGAATTGCTTGGAATGACTTTTATATCAGATCTGCATGTTACTTATTGTATGCATTCTCATCTGTTGTAATCGGACAACTCCCTTAATGTTAATGGGAGCTGTGCAGTTACAAAGATGAGGATGTGTAAGGTAGCACGGAACATAGTGGGACCTGCTGAGGATGTAGTGTCAGTCTTTGATTGGACTTTCTGTGTTTGTGTTGGCTTGTAACAGCTTTAATTCTAAAGGAGAAATTTCATCCTGGAGAAAACTTAAGCAAAAAATGTACTTTATACAGAGGAGCACTTCAACTTCAGCTCTGATGAGTATTCTGCTGATGTCAATGGGAATTTTGTGTTCTCTTTGGGTCAGGCTGAGTAGCACTTTACTTTTTGAGTACTGCTTTTGTAAGGGATGGAACTAGTTGACAAGCAAGGTACTGCTTATTAGAGAGAACGTATAGACACGCCTAAAAATTGTAGCCATGACAAAAGATACCAGTGTAAAATGTTACAAAACAACTGTTGCATCAGCATGATCTTGTAGTTATACAGATACAGCCAAACCACTCCAACTTAACCCTGGTTTACTCAGGATCAAAGTTACGGCAATTTACCTCTCTTGTGTCACTATAGGATCATGCAGACATAACACTTACAGTGCACATTTCAAACAGCTCTGAACAATTCTCTCTCCTCTTTTAAAGTATCTAAAAGGTATGTTTATCCATACCTTGAGTATAGTAGAATCTGGGCTGTGCTGTCATTGAAGAGACTTGTGTTTGAATAAAGCTTTGCCCTTCAGAGCTCCCTTTCCCCATCTTGTTTTATCTTGTGAAGTAATAATTCAGTTCTTATAGCAACATAAATCCAAATTAATCCCCAACTTAAGTGGGTACGACTTCTGCTGAAATTATTCCCCTCTTTTGACAGGACTTTATTTGATCTGAGATCTTTCTTTTTGCTCTGGAAATAGTTGTGATGCAATAAAGTCAAGCTTATAATTCAGCCACAGGATGCAAGGAGACCAAATGAATTATGACAGAACATGATCTGTGTTTAAATGCAGATGGCTTTGAAAATAAATACAAGCTGAAATGAGGATGAGAATGATATTGTTCACTTCTGTATCAGCTTTCATCTCAAGCTGAAAGCACTTTGCATTCATAAATGAGTTAAGCCTCCTAACATCCCTGTGATGGTAAATGTTATTAGGAGATGCATTTTGCAGTACTTAATCTGTCTTTATTCAAGCAAAACTCATTCGAAGTCAATTACATATTTTTTTTCTGAATAAAAGCTGAGTGAAGACTTCAGAGCTTGGAACAAAACTCATAATTAGGCATTTCAATGGATGATATAATGTGGGAGTTTATCCCTTCGTAAAAGTCCATATTTGTTATAGATTTACTTTCATGACTTACTTCCTACTTTCATCCAATAGAGATTGCCAGTGTGTGACATCCAGCCTAGAATAGACACAAAAAGGGTAGCAACAGATGAGTATAGTCAGGACATCCCACCTTAGTGAGTGTGAGGATTAGGGCATGTTCTTCAGAGTGTTTACAGTGAGATATACTAGGTCCCCAGAAGATCAGTATTGTTCACTGCCAGCAAGATCAGAGCCTTAGAACTAAAACCTGTAGATCCAGCATGACAGCCCTTGTAGTAAAGTCCAGCGGAAGTTGTCTGAAATAATAATGTGACTAACCTGAAAGGCCCATTTTACTCTAATTCCATTAACTCCTTGGCACTACAAAAATGTGATGTGTCCATTTGCTGATGTCAGGATACAACCTAAGAAAATTCAGTTTCTAGCATTTGGCTTCATAAAGCAGAATTTGGTAAGCTAGAAGTGATACATAGTTTACTTTTACATTTGTGGATCCTGTCTTGCTCCTATTAGAGTCCATGATCAGCTGATGTAGGGCTGAACTGTATTGCTCAGGTTGCCAGAATAGAGATTCCCTATATGACTTGTAGCATAACTGCTGGTAGTTTAAAAATTCTTGGCAGAAAAATCTGGAAGGAAGTGGTTTTTTTATGTTGTTTTGTTGTTCTCCAAAGGTTATGAGCAAGCATGCAATTGTTTGAATATTTCTGAGCATCATGTAATCAAATACAGAGCACCCTTAATATTTGCAGTCGTTTAACAACTTGTTTCTTTTCAGATCCTGTAAAGGTTCAAGTGCAAACTGCTGGGTTTTTCTTTTCCTCTTTTACACCAATATATACTCTACCTGGCCTCTAGAAATGGTGCCTAACCTTCCCTGTCCTGCAAGCCATAGTTCATGTTCTTGATTCCCTTTAAGACTTTTGACGAGTTTCCTGCTCTGGGTGGTATTGTCATCTTACAGATTTTTTTCATGTAGTGAAGGCAAATATGTTCTATGATTTTTCTTTTCTTGACCTCTCATTTTAGATATAAAAAGTGTGCATGCCTATATTTGTTTTCTAGGAGTCCTAGTCTTAGTCTTGATTGATTAGTTGTGGGATCAGGCTGCCAGCTTCAGATCTGTACCGAGATCTGCACAGACAGGTTTTGAACTCACCTCAGTAGGAATGTCCAAACAGTGGGAAAGTACACACTTAGGCATCTGCTTCAGACCCCTCTCTCATCCTAGCAGAGAGGCAATGAGCCCTGAACTCCATTAACTTGCCTTCCATAGAAGAGCAAAAATAACATGCAGTGGGATTGGTCCTATCACTAGGTTTGGGGCTGGGGATCTCTATGCTTTCCAGTCAATGCTCCATGCCTTTGCTCAATCATTTCTGCCAGAGAGAAGGAATTGGGCTCTATGGATGTTGGATCATACCAAGTTTGTACCTTAGGTTTTCCTTTCCATTGGATGTTCTGCAGAATAGTGTGATTTAACCAAATACAACAGTAAAGGGAGTAAAAAGCCTAGTAACAAATGACAGAAACTCATAAGAGATTTGAAGTGATACTAGACAATATACTACCTATGTATGGAAGCAAACCAAAACACAGTTAGAGAGTGCTAGGTTACAGTAAAGGCTGTAAAATCTATGGCTCGTGTGTGTAGAATTTCTGCAGCATTTGTTGTAGCTTCCAAGACAATTTCTGAAAACAGTATCTTCGAGTTTATATGTTCTCCAGGTGCTTATATGAAGCATGAATTTGTTTCCTAACATAAGAGAGCTGTGCTTGGTTTATTTTTCTGCCTATATGTTTTGACACTGCCCAAGAATCAAAATTAAGGTGAAAATACCAAGCGCTGAAGTGGAATGTGCTGGCAAGGATGCATACTTTGAGGGTTTCGATGGATGGCATCTGCTGCCTTCAAGGATGCTTTTCTCTCCTCCACTTTGTTCAGGTTTCTTGAGTTCTTAAGAAATAACTTGCTTCAAGAGCAAGTTTTACTTCCATCAACCTTCACATTAAGACTAAATACCTTGGAACAGTTTCTAACAACCTCCCCTTCCCCCACCCTCTGCTTTGGTTCCCTCTGGCAGTGCAAAGCCTGGCTGCAGTGTTTGGTTGGTGACATGCCTGGCAAGGGGAGGAATTAGAGTGGTGAAGAACTGGTATAAACCACCAACCCCATTGGTATTGTAGAGCTCTGAGCATATTGCTGCATTCCATATTGATTCCTTGGTGGAGGAAGGGGCTCTGTTGCAATTTAAAGCAGCCCTTAGGCAAAAAGGAGGTCCCACGGTTAGATGGCAACAGTAGAAAGCAAGCTTTGCATCTCACTCCTTAGGTGAACTAAGAACAGTCTAAGGTATGACCCTGTAAGTGGTAGCCTGGTAAATTATGTTAGCATCTCTCTAATGCAGAGACCATTTTCTGTCATATACCAGCTCTGAATAAGCAGGTTTGGCCCAGGGGATTTCCAAGGCTGTTGGAGAACATAGGATCCAAAATCTACTTCAGTCTTAGAGCTCCCTGTGGCTGGTATGCCTCTTCATCTTGGAGACTTGTGAACTTAGTCTTCCTGGAGCATACAAGGAAAAAGTGGAAATCTTAATGCATTGATTTTTCTCCTTATGGTATGGATCTCAATTGGGACTTTGGAATACGTTATACTATTCTGCAAAAGTACTGCTTAAAGTAATTCTCAAAGAAAAGTATAGATAACAATAGGACAGTGCATGTTTGAAACCCACAAGCTATTAAGTAGTTCTTCTTTGTCATTGGTCTGTTTCTTTTGCACCTATTTTTTACATGCCTTGTAAAAAACTCAAACCTTTGGTCACATTTATAGAGCCAATTTGTAGTGTTCTGTGCATCAGTTGTGCTGAATGTGAGAACCTGGACATACAGACTCTTTCAAAACTGCCTGTGTCGTTGCAGATATCAACGAGTGTGAAATTGGAGCTCATAATTGTGACAGACATGCCATATGCACAAACACAGCAGGAAGTTTCAAATGCAGTTGCAGCTTAGGTTGGATTGGAAATGGTGTCAAGTGCACAGGTAAGTTTCATGTATTGTTGCATCTACTTTAATAATTGGAATCCAACACCAATAGGAAGCAAAGCAACGTCCAGTAACTTAAAAAAACAGTTGGTATAGGTCACTGAGGCCCCTGCTACCTCTCATTTTATATATATAAATAAAACAGTTAACTGGTTATTTGTGCAATAAATTTAAATCAGCCACCCATGCAAAGTAATTATCACACCATAAAAATGACTATAAAAGAACCAACCAGCTACAGAGTTAGTGTAATAACTCTATAGCTGATTTCTATCCAGATCTAATGTGAATGTGTAGTAGGGTCCTGAGAGATTTGATGTGCTTGGAAAGGAATCTTGGCTCCCTTGAAGTCATTAAGATTTTTACCACTGACCTGACTAGTCAGGATTTCATCCTGGGTATTGAGGACCAGTTGCTATATAACTCAGCACTACAGAGTTATCTTAACAGTTTACTTAGCACATTGCAAATCCTGCTTTTCCAATCAAAGATATGTGAATGAGAAGAGGAGATATCCATCAAGAAGGTAATGGAGAGAGAAAGAGAAATATCCCTTCAAGTTGAGAAAAGAACAATTGGTGTCCAGTCTAGACCACTGAATGTGGTAATCTAGAATATCCAGTGATACATTGCATGTGTTGTTTTTCTTGCTGTCTAAATAAAAGAGCTCATAAAAAAGTCAAGTTTAAAAAACAACAACAACAACAAAACAAACCTCATAGTGCATTGTTTTTATTATGAAAGATATTCAGAATAGAGTTTTTCTGTGCCATATACTGAGTATCTTAAAGGTTCCATTGAAACTGGTTTTTACTAATATGGCTGTCTTTTATATTTAAAGATTTGGATGAATGCTCCAATGGAACACACAACTGCAGCCCACATGCTGATTGCAAGAACACCATGGGCTCTTACCGTTGCCTTTGTAAAGAAGGTTACACAGGAGATGGCTTCACTTGTACAGGTGAGCTTGCAGTGAGCAAGTACTAGAATGTGAAATGCCCAAGCAAGCATCTGAAGTGGCTAGTTGTAGAGGAAATTTACCTTTTTCTTACATGTAGCATAATTTAATTTCAAGTGCTGATCCAAAATTTTACAATCCCAGAGGCCTGATCCTGCAGTCTTTCTGTGCTCCAGGAAGCCTCCCATTGAATTGAAGTCAGGAAGCGTTAGACTGAAGACCAAAATGTTTGTTTTGAATCTTTCCAGTCTTTTGTTAAGGTATATCCTGAGATATTGTGTCACAGTCTCCCATTTCATGTAACATAACATCATTTGTTATGAAAAAGCTGGCCAATGAAACTCAATGGCATTTTTCCCTGTGAAAGTTTTCTATGAGTGTTACTTGTTAATAAATGTGGGTGGCAAACTTATTAAAACACTGCTTGGTGCTGTAATTGGACCAATTAATAAACCAGATTATAGGCCACCCACATGACACTTGAGTAATGAGGCACATCTGTTTATGTTCCTTCGTACAGTTGCCTAGGAATATGTTTGCCTTCCAGAAGTTAGCATATGTTCACTGTCCTTTTTCTGCATCATCTGGATTATAGTTTCAGGATAAAGTGCTGAAATATGACAAGCAGCTACTTCTGAACCCTAATGTTATAGACTATAAATTTGTTTGGTGATGTTCCCCACCTTAAAAGTTTTCTGCTTTGAAGAGCAAATTAGCCCGTATAAAAGTTGTCACTAGTAACTTTGCTTTTGCGCTAAGGATTTTGATTATTGTTATAGATTGGGGTGAGCAATTATTTCAGGCAGAGGACCACTTACCGAGTTTAGGCAAGCTGTCAAGGGCTGCATTGGTTGCCCCATCCCTTGACAGGTGCCCCACCCCTTGGTTACCATCTTGTGATCAGACCCCCCATACACTCCCCCCACTCCTGCTCCTGGCCCTGGGGTACTGGCATGGACCCCGTGGTCCTGTGATGCAGCTGGGGGGAGAGGGAGTAGGAGGGGGCTGGGGGGACAGGGCAGGGCTGGGCTGGCCTTACTGGCAAATCCTACTGGCTTCCCCTGGATCCTACAGCCCCTGGTTCCTGTCATCATTGACAGGCAGCCAGGAGCAGATAAATATACATTTTCTAAAATTTTTAGGGGCCCTGCAGGCTGGATAGAATGGCCTGACAGGCCGGATCCAGCCCATGGGCCAAATTTTGTCTGCCCCTGTTATAGATTTTGTGTCAAAGTTATTCTACAGTGATGCACAATAAAATAGAGCCCTAAAATAAATGCCTAATTGGGCAGATCCTCAGTTGGTGTAAATCAGTAGCTCCCTGTTGACTACACTGATTTATTTCAACTGGTAATCTGCCCCAGCTGATTTAAAGTAAATTACATTTGAATCATTCAGTTGTATGAATAAACACTAGAACTCTGTTTCTTGCACTGTATACAATTTTCAAATCTGATTCTGCTTCTCAAATGGCCTTCATAATGTACAACTGTTTTATTTTCAATACGTAAGTTCTTTATTTTGAAAAGCTTATGGACTGCAATATCCTTTTTGTTTTAAAAGCAAGCATTTATTACGTTCCCACATTTTGATTGGACTCTGGCGTTTATCTTGTTTATTACTTAGGAATTTGAAAAGTGGGTAGAACTCAAACTGGAGCAGGCAAGTGTTGTGGAAGCCTTCTGCCAAGGCATGCAGCATCAGTTTTGATCTGTGGTGCTTTTGCTTTCTCAGTCCTAGATTTTTACACTGAGACTTCCAGCTGTGCTCCATTGCAGCACATGTGATGTGTAAAACGTCAACTAGAGAAAAGGGCCAATTTATTTCTCAACAGCAGTATAGTCCAGCCATACAGCGGTGTGACTTGGAATAGGCCACTTCACCCCTCTTGTCTGTTTCTCCTCCTACTCTGTCTGTATTGTCTGTTTAGAATAAAAGCTCAGTGAAGCAGCGAGTCTCTCTTACCATTTGTTTGTATGCTGGACAACACCTACCACAGGAGACCCCTGATCTCATTTGGGGCCTCAAGGCTCTGCTGTAATACAAACCATAATGATGAGAGCATGTGAATTATATTATCTTGTCTAAATTTGGCTCTAAGTTTAAATTACTCCATTCCCTGCACTTGTTATTAGATTTAACTACTTTTAACAGTTTTTACCTTTCGCTGCTGCTTCATTTTATTAGAAATCATATTTTCAAAGTGAAAAACTGCCCCTGGCCTTTTAGTATGACAATAAACATTTAACTAGACTTATTTCTTCAGTGAGCAATCACAATTTATCTTAGCTGATCGATTGTTAGTGAGAAGTATTCACAGTAAAATGCAATTCCTCTTTCTGTCACAGATCTTGATGAATGCTCAGAAAACCTGAACCTCTGTGAAAATGGGCAGTGCCTCAATGTCCCTGGAGGATATCGCTGTGAATGCGATATGGGATTTTTGCCAAGTCCAGATAGGAAAGCATGTGAAGGTAATTCACTGTAAGCTTTAAACAACACTCTGCAAATTCTGTCTTAACACTTTATTTTTGAAAAACGTTACAATCAATTGCAGTTATGTTAACTGTTGGAAAACACATTGGTCAAAAGAAATACAGCCAAGGGTAGAATGTCATGTTTTCCTGTTTGTGTCCAGATACTAATTTTGTCTCACAGCTCCAGAGCTCTCAGCCAGCTCCAGAGAGTGAGAGAAGTTCTTTGAAGAGTTTCTTCCACCATGATGGATTATCATCTAGGCAATTTTTTCTGGTTTTGCTATTCAATTCATGCCACTTTAGCAGAAACCATCATAATATTGTCTTTAATATGTAGGAAGACTAATATATGGGAAGCAAGGCTGCAGAAGTCAATATAAAGACCCCCCCACTGATTTCACTAGGCTTTGGATCAGACCCAAAATCTATCATGAAGTATTGATTTGGTAGCGGATGAAGCATTCTGAACAGCTTCTATGAACTGTGATTATACAAAGGCATAATTATCCAATGTAAGGAAAGGTACAGTTTAGAAAGATGAGACAACAAAATTGTTGCAAACCCAGTGGAAAAAAGTTCCCATCAACATTTGCTGAGTGTTGAAAGTAAGTGCCACTCAGCAGTTTTCAACCCTATGCATGAGAGTTCAGGAGTTTGTTCCTATTTCACATACATTTCAAAAATTAGGTGCGTGAATATTTGCTCCAAGTAAGTTTCAAATGATGTATTTGAGATCTACAGTTTGCATTGCACTAGTTGGTTAGTTAAGTCCTGAAGTCAGAACAATACCTTGTCTTGTAAATAGTCGATATTCTGTTAGCCACTCAAAAGGTGGGAGAAGGGGAAATATGAAAAAATCTAAATTAATTGGGAGTACAAAAATGCTAGAATCTTACAATGTGTTAACTAATAGAAAACAAAGACAGAATCAATGAGTAAATTATATGCTCAGATCTATAAATAAATGTATATTTTCTCCAATACTGAGATCCTTAAACCCAACTTGTTTGAATGTATTATAGACACAGGTATTGGATGACATTCATAAGAAGACCGTAAATAGGATTGTGTACTTTTGCTACCCAAAAGTGTTCCATGTATTTTTTTTTTACTAATAAAGTATAAAGCATAAATTGTGAGAGTTGGACGTCCATGTAAATTTAAACAAATTGATTTCTTAACGTTTTATCTATGTAGCCATTTACTTTCAACCAAAATAATCTTCAAACTTGCATTAAATAGCTCATATAGTGCCTCTCTTCTGTTGCTACAACAGCCTTCTCCTGATGTCTCTGCTATGTATACTAACCACAGAAGCATTTTCAAGTCCTTTGTAAACACAAGCTCTTGTTACTGGGTTGAGTTTGTAGTTCATTATGCAGTTCATACAGTATTCTGTAAACATTGAGTTTGATGCTGCAGTCCTTACTTAGGCAAAATACCTATAGTAGTTAGTCCCAGAAAATAAATACAGTCTGTTTAAAATGTGTTGGATGAAATAAACCTGAACAAGGTGAAATTCACCCTCATACTAGGGCTTGTGATTAACTGAAGTCATCCCTTCCTGGTACTGTCCATTGGCATAGAGTTGAATTTCACTTCTCTAAGGCATATTTGTTTCTATATTAAAATTCACTGTTCCTCAGGAGAACCTACAGTTGGGGTTCAGATTAGTTCTGGTACAACTCCCAGTGCCTCCAGTGAGAGTTTTTTGCCTGAGTAAGGGGTTCTAGATTGGATCCTTTAGGTTCCAAATGTAAATCTATATATTATTATTTCAAATCTAAAACATATTTTATGGAGTATACACAAACAGCCAGCCTTCAGTTCCATGTTTAGTTTTCCAAATGCTGATTCATGCAAGATTTCATTTCTCTGTATAAAGAAAATTTAATGGCATTTGTTTTTCCGCATATGTTTTTTTTTCTTAAAGATATTGATGAGTGTACCCTTTCTAAGATCTGCGTCTATGGAACTTGTCATAACCTACCTGGTCTATTCCGATGTGAGTGTGAGACGGGTTATGAATTAGACAGAAGCGGTGGTAACTGCACAGGTAAAGATTCATTTTAAATGTCATTGTTTTTAACGTAGCTGTTGTTATCTTGGTCTAGTCTTTTGGCAAAGCTGGTGCTGTGTTAGATTATAAAGAAAACATAGAATTGTCCTAGATCCTTCAGTGCAGAACAGTGAAGTAGCACAAAAGAGTCAGCAGGAAATTTCATGCAAATACTTTGCCTAACTTGGGGACTTGTGTAGTCATCCTCCCAGCCTGTGCATGATGAAGCAGTGGATGCCCAAGGTTCCACTAGGTCAAGAGAAGAAAAGGAAACAGAACAGAGGCATTGCGTCTTTCCGTCTATATCTCCCAGGAAGAGATCTGCTGTGTGCTACACTTTCTGTTCACAGTAACATAAAGTACAAGGGCTCCTACATGTTTTTAGATGATAATATTTTTTTGAACAACACATGCACTTCTCACTGCATTTCTTTTTATAGAATTATTCTTTTCTGATGAAAATGAAGTATTACTCCATGAAATGTCAATTGCATATCAGGATAACATCTGTTTCTAAAGTTTCAGTGGTACTTTGCAACTGTCTGGAGAATGACTAAGATACAACACATGAGAAGCCATAGTATCATGATTTCCTGAGTCTGACACACTGACACTTAGCATATTGTTGGCTTATGTGTTATACTGCGGTATTTCCTAACAGCCCTGCTGTTATTGTTGCAGATGTTAATGAATGTGCAGACCCCACAACCTGTATCAGTGGCACATGTGTCAATACCCCAGGCAGTTACACCTGTGAGTGTCCCCCTGATTTTGAGCTGAATCCGACCCGTGTTGGCTGTGTTGGTAAGATATCATTTTTTATGTTATTGAGAAGTAGTGTCACAAATGGACCGTAATGCTAACAGCTGGCTGAGGCAGTCCACCAGGTGGTGTTTAGCTGTTTGGGAGGGCTCTCCAACTCCCATCCTACTGCCCCTGGCTTAGGTTGGTTTAAGGAAAGGGAGTATAGCTAGAGTACTGCTGCACTGGAGCCAACCCTTACTGCCAAAAGCCCCTTCAGTGCATGATGCAGCTGTGCACAAATTGGAGAAGCCACGAGGCTGCTTTAAATTGCATGAAGCCCAAACAAGCCTCCATCTGTCCCCTGGATTGAAAGAACCCAAAGGTGTGGCATAAAGCCAACAACACTTTCAGATCTGACTGTAGGTGCAGCTGGCCAAACCATACTGTCATGACCAAGGGAAATGTTCTTGTGAGACTTAGACCTCAACCATTCAGTACTTGTCTGGTACTCCTTGGTTCTGAATTGTTTAAGAGGTCAGTGCGGGGAGGGAGAGATGCATCTTAGTTGCATGCATCTTACTTTCCAAATATATTAATTTAATAAATGGGTATTTATCTATATTACATTAATATCAAAGTCATATGAAAGTAGCAGTTCCTAGAATTGGGGCCAGGGTTCAAGGAGATGGGGAGAGACAAGTATAAATGAAAATATGCACCTAAATGAGAGAGCCCAAATGTAACACTTTTATTCAAGCTGAGAAAGTCCTTAGTCTGCAAGCAGTCTCACTGGTTTCAGTGGGAGGACTTAACAGAGAAACGTTTTGCCCAGTTACTGGTGTTAGAAACGGCCTCTGTGGATGGAAGTGATCCTAATACTTCAGGTAAAACCCTGTATTATCTTGCAGGGATAACTTCCACAGCACCGAAACTAGTGTCATCATTTTTTATTATTATTTTGTATTACCATAGCTCCTAGGATTACCAGACATGGACCAGGATCCCATTGTGCTAAGTGCTGCTTAAGCACAAACAAATAACTGGTCTTTCCCCCAAGATGCTTACAGTCTAAGTGTAAGATAGAGAAGAGGTGATAAATGAGCTGAGGGGGTAGAAAGGGAAAGAAAGGGAAAAAGTCACCCCTCCCCTGCAATATAATGTTTGGCTTGGTGTATATTTTGAATAGATACCCGTTCTGGCAACTGCTACTTGGAAGTTAAAACACGAGGAGATAATGGAGGTACCTTCTGCAGCAATGAGATTGGGGTTGGTGTTTCCAAAGCATCCTGCTGCTGTTCCCTGGGAAAAGCTTGGGGAATTCCCTGTGAACATTGCCCGGCTGTGAACTCAAGTAAGTTGACTTAACGTCATTAGAGGTAACAATATATTTTGCTTATTTTGTCTCTCTCTACTTTCTCTGGATAGTATAGTTTTAGTATTACCACCTGCTGTGTATATACATGTACTGCAGTATCTTATTATTATACCACTCACAGTACAAAATCTTTTGGAATTGGCATAAGATCAGCAAAACGAACATTATATTTGCCCCTGCACAATGGTGCTATTGCAGGTAAAACTGTACTATCTAATGGGGAAAGCCATACTCAATGTTATATTAATAGGTGACACCTTATTTTGCTGAGGCTCTTTTATGTCCCTTAAATTTAAGTTCCCTAGAATGAGATTTCCAAGTTCAAATATTATTGTTTTGAAAATTCATAAAATCTTTTTTTTTTTTTCAGCTGAGTATAAGGTTCTGTGCCCTGGAGGGGAAGGATTCCGACCAAACCCGATTACAGTTATATTGGAAGGTAATACTTATAATTTAAATATTTTACATGTCTACAATGACAAAATTCTTTGGTAAAATGTACTCTTTTTGCCATATAATCATACTGGCGCTTTCACTTTTCTAGATATTGATGAGTGTCAAGAACTACCTGGACTTTGCCAAGGAGGAAAATGTATCAATACATTTGGAAGTTTCCAATGTCAGTGTCCATCTGGATACTATTTAAATGAAGACACTAGAGTATGTGACGGTATGTAGTCCTTGGATTTACCCAGCATTGGCAGTTATTTTGTACAAAGTGTTGACAACTCAACATCCATCAAAATCAATCGGTTCTGCCAAAACAAGATGTGTAAATGCAGAGACAGTAGAGCTGGTCAAAATTTTTCCATCACACTATTTGTTAATAAAGAACTCCTTTTGACTTGGTGGAAATTTTTATAACTTTTTGTCTACCGCCTTCTGATTTACCAGCTAACTGTAAGAAATAGCAGTTCTTTGGTAGACAGTGTAATTATTTACCTTGACTAAGCAGTAAAACAAACAAACAGATGACTGCTTGGGTTTGCTGGGCAGGTGGAAATGGCATCATCCTCTTTTAAGTGCAGCTCATTGTCCATCTTCCTCCAATCTAAAGCTTGAGTCTTTAACTGAAAATATGTCTAGTATTGCAGCCTTCATTCTCCACAGTGAGTTGGTAGCATTCATTTAGTGCATTATGCTATGCACTTATCCCATGAAGCCTATAGTTTGCATTTTGTATCAAATTTTGACAAAATCCCCAAACCTGATGCCTACTTTTCCATTGTTCAGAGTATATTCAGCTTCTCAGACCATCAGTAATATTATTAGTTTTCTATAATGGCTGTGATGTGCTAAGGCTAGGTAAATATAAGAAGATTCATGCCACAAAGAGCTTACAGGCTAAAAATCAAGCAGAAAGACTTTTCATGCAGTACTGTATACATGCAGCTCAACTTGTTAACAGGCTTCCTGTTAAGTGGAGAGAAGATATAAGTCTACTTGTCCATACAGGTCTTTCTCTGTTGATGGCCGAATATTGTTTAAAATGAGCAAGGCTGTTTAAGCAACTTTCAAGTGTCCATCTTTTACTTTCTCCCTTTGCTTGGAGACTTTTGGTGTAATTGTTGCCACATTTGCTGAGCGCAACTATTCTACCATCTCTAGCCCATCGAATCAAAATTCACTAAACCAGTTTTGTTTAAGATAAGATAAGGTGACTTCAGCTCTGTCCGGCTTACTCCTGCTAGTTTACTGGGACTCTTATCTTCCTTGGGTTCTCTTGTCATAAGGGGTGATTAGTACCTAGAGAGGAGACATAGATGTGATTTCTACCTGATTTTAGAGCATCTCCAAAGATAACTGCTAGGGCAGAAGTTTAGAGGAAATTGACTGTCACTGGCCCATCCCTTTGAATATACAAGCAGCCCAAGGCCCACCTTAGCTGTGAGGCCTTTTGGCTCACCTGTGGAGATAACCATTCATGGTATTACTCCCTCTCCTATACACTCTATGCCCATCCTGACCCAGACCATTAAGTAGTCTTAGCAGTATATTCTTGCCCCAGAAACTGCTGGGCCATCTTAACCCAAATTTACTAATGTCTCAACACAATTGAGACTGATATAAACTGTGGTTATATAATGACTTTTGGTTTTCTTATTAGATGTAAATGAATGTGAAACACCTGGAATTTGTGGTCCTGGCACTTGTTATAACACTGTTGGAAACTACACCTGTATCTGTCCTCCTGACTACATGCAAGTCAATGGTGGCAACAACTGTATGGGTAAGGGGTTTTTGGTTTTTTTTTTAAAGATTTTTGCCTTTACACTTTGTGCCAGGGCAGCAGCTAGTGTAAATGGCTCCACTGAGTTAAGCTACACAGAAGAACAGTTATGAATTAAATGCAGTTCTGGCAATGTCCATGTAACTGAGGGTCTAGTCTATTTCTTTATTTTCATTAAGTAAACTAAGACAAGGTTTTTGTCAGAGGTTTATTAGAAAACAACTCACAATCAGCGTAGTCCGTTTAGATTGGCAAAACAATGTTACTGTTTCCTTCCAACCACAGTAAAAAGGTGTTATACTTGCTCTTCATGTGAAGTGAATTTTCCATTTTAATCCTTTGGCAAGAGTGATATTTCATGGGTACTTTGGGCCATATCATGTTATTGATCTATGCACAGAGCCTCTCCACTGAGCATTATTGTAAAAATTGATGGACGGCTGTAATGTTTTGAGGCTGGAATGTCTGAGCATCGCAGGCTTATTCTTCTTCCAGTGAAGTCAGTGGCAGAACTCCCATTGACTTCAGTGGGAGTAGGACCAGGCCTCAAAAGATTAACAAACTATTTTTGTATAACACCAGCCAGTCTGTGGCTTGAAAAATCATTGGCTGCAGTAGAGGCAGCACAGTAGACAGCATCCCAGCAGAGCTTGCCTAGGCACTGTTAACCATTGCATTGTAGAGGACAGCACATGGCTGGACCTTGTCCTGTATTTCTCATGCTCTGGAGCTGACCGATGGTGATGCGTCATTAAAAGTCTGTGATTCAATTGGTGCTTTTGCTCAAAGATTGTTACTGTGTTCAGCCTTTGCTCTGGAAGGTTTTGTGACCTTTCTATCCTAATAATTCATCTCTTTTCAAAATGGTCCCTGAAAAATGGTGACCTACAATATTATAATGCCCTATGGCAAAGTTATTTACACCGTACTTAAATCTGATCCTGCAAACTTTCTGCCTAGCTCCTTCTAGCTGGCAGCCCTGATTACAGCTGCTCCTTAAGAGAAGAGGAGCCATGGGTCTCCTTTTACTGGCATCACACCACCCTTTTGAAGCTTTTGGAGTTGAGTTTCAAAGGGCACATCTTTACGTGATATTTTGTTTCTAGGTGCAGTGTTTAATTTTGTTTCCATGACGGTAGCATATTGAGCTAGGGCTGTGCAGTCCTGGCTGGCAGGGGACTGGGGGGGTTCAGCCAGCCAGCTTGGAGCTGCTCCCCTTTGGCTCAATGTGCTGTGGAGGGGCTGGAGCACAAGGGTGCTACGGTGTGGGGCTAGCCGGCAGGCAACCCCTGCACTGTAGCACCCTTGTGCCCCAGCCAGCCCTGGTCACCATCTACACGTGAGTTGCAGCAGAGTAAATAATTCTGCCATAAGATAGTACTTGTCAGGCAATACTATCCTATGGTGTAGTTAATTAGTTTTCTCTGGTCTAATAGGGATGCACGTGTAGATGGTGTCGCTTTACTGCGGAGCTATTAGACAACTGAGAGAACATATTTGACCCAACGTTTCAAGTTTTTCATAGGTTTTAGGAGTCACTCCTAGCAAGGGTGTAAAACACTAGAGAAAAACCTGTCTTCAGCAACCTCTGGAGAGAGCTACAGAAGTCAGGTGTTTAAAAGTCTTCTAACAGGTGACCTAGTAATATTCTCAGTGCATTTGGGAAAGGCGGTAACTAATAAGTATGAGGTGACTAATAAGTATGACCTCTTACCTTCATACAAGCTTCGTTGTATGTTTCAACAGAGCTTTTCAGCGTCATACATTTTTGTTTTTTTATTGCAGATATGAGAAGGAGTCTCTGCTACAGAAATTATTATGCAGACAATCAAACCTGTGATGGAGAGCTTCTCTTTAACATGACCAAGAAAATGTGCTGCTGTTCCTACAACATTGGGAGAGCATGGAATAAGCCTTGTGAGCAGTGTCCTATTCCTAGTACAGGTAAGTTTTTAATTTGAAAATGTTTATAACCATGCAAGCTATTATAAAATTAAGGAGAGAGGGTTATGTTTTCATGTGTTTCTGTATGTGTTTGTGCATGTGCCTATCCAAGTACAGGAAAAGGGGGAAATTTAGCCTAGCATGAAAATATTGGGATAATTTAAGTCATCTTGTTTTCTTATTATAGATGAATTTTCAACACTGTGTGGAAGTCAAAGGCCTGGTTTCTTCATTGACATTTATACAGGGTTACCAGTTGGTGAGTTTTGATTACTCTGTTGAGAACTAAATTCCATACCACCTATGTGCGAGGAAAAGGGAGGCTTTGTTTCCACAATTAGTTTTTTCCTGGAGAGGAATAAAGACCAAACAATACAATGGAGTTCAACCCTTAACTTAAATCTGATCCTGCAAACTTTCTGCCTAGCTCCTTCTAGCTGGCAGCCCTGATTTACAGCTGCTTGTGATCAAGGCAGTGTCAAGCTATAAAGATGTTTTAATCAAGCCGTGCTGAATAGACAATGAGCTATGATCATCTTGGAGTAAGGCCAATCTTCTTTAAGTTTGAAAGGAATTAGGAGTCTTTCCTTCTGATTCAAGCACAGATTTAATCTGACAGTTCATTCCAATCCACTTGTGTATGAGAGTAACACAAAAATCCCTTTTCCTCTTCAGTCAGAATATTTCTTACATGCTGTGGCGGAGCACCAGTGGGGTGCTTGCCACTTTTAGGGCTATCACAGGCTCTGGGGCAGCCTGTTTTTTCTGAGCAGCAGGGAAAAGCTTTCCCTGCTAAACATTGTAAGGGGGAAGGTAGGGCTCAGAGCATCTTAAGTGCTCTGCCTTTTTAAGACCAGGGTCAGGCAGCAAGCAGGTGCGGCCCAGTCCTGACAAGTGGCCATCTTAAGCCCTAGGCCAGCAGGGCTGGGTGCAGCAGTTTGCTGCTAGACACTGAGGAAGCAACATTTCCCGGAGGAGCTGCTTCTCTGAGAACAGCTAGGAGGTAAGGCAGGAGGCTCTTGGTCCTGGGCTTGACTTGAAACTGCACCCAGCTGGGGAAGGGTGGCCTGGCAGGGCTCCTGGTGGTGCGGGAGCCCCCAGGAAATGCCAGGCCAATTACCTCCCCTGTGAAAGGTAAGGAGGGGCTCCTTATCCCCAGCCCCCACCTCTGGGTGGGTTATTTAACACCAGAGGCAGTAGAGGGCCAGGCATGCCCAGGTGTGGCACCTGAGCCCTGTGGGGTGCAAGACAGCAGAGTATGGGTAGTGTGCAGAGTAGGGTGCAGAGGGGCAGCTGAATGCCTGCACGAGAGCAGCAGTTGTGAGGCCCTGGAGAGAGGGGCAAGTAGAGAGTGGTAATTGTGAGGCCCTGTGAACACAGGGGCATGAGCTAGGGCCCTGTGAGTAAGGGGCACAAGTTGGGTCCCTGTGAGCAGGGGGCTTGAGTGTAGGTCCTGCTAGCATGGGGGCCTGAGTTAGGTCCAGATAAGCCTTAGGGCGCCTGAGGCCATAGGTGGGCCAGAGGCCAATTGGAGGGCAGCGGAGGAGAAGCTGTAAGGAGGACAGGGGATGAGCCATCAGCCCCTTGATGGAGAGCAGCTGGGGGAGTTACCCGGCTACAAGACCAGTGGCAAAGTCAGCACAGCCTTTAGCGAACTGCCCACCGCTCACTCAGAGGAGGGTAGTGGGAAATGCCCAAAAGGCTGCACACTTACTGGCTGGGGAGTGAAGAGTAGGAAGCCTGAGGACCCTCTGGGTGAGGGCAGAGTGAATGTGGTCCCCAGGAGAGAAGAGGTGGTACATGTAAGGCCCAGGAAGGGTGGTGTGAAAGAGACCAGGTGAGAGGTGGTGGAGAGTGAGAGGCCTTTGTGAGAGGGAGGCAATATGAGTGCAGCCCGCGCAGGGCACAGTGAAAGAGACTCAATACTGTGACGAGTTGGGCCTGGCCTCAGGCCAGAGCTTAGTACAGCTGTGAGCTACATCTGCGAGGCATGGGACATGTTAAGGGGTGGTAGGAGCATGTACTTTTGGCCCTTAGATATCCAGGCCCTCAAAAGGCAGCCTCCTACCTCGTTACCAACTAGTTACTTAACAGCAAGGTGTGGCAGGTGAGAGAGGTAGGTGGTGTGCCCAGAGGCAGTGGGAGACCAGCACTGTGGCTGGTTGGGGACCTCCCACTTTGCTACACCTGCATTATTATGTGTAACATTTGAATTGTTTATAACAAATTGTAAAAATGAGAGAGAGAGGAACTGAGGAATTCAAAGACGAGGATCCTTTTGGGATTCTGTTTTGTTTTGATTCACACAAAAAACAAGTGGAACATCCCTGCAAAACTAGGACAGCTGAGGTATATAGGTAGGTGATAAAGGGCATTCTTAACACATGCTTTGTGGGTGGGAGAGGGGTGCGCTTTAATTAGAGTGGCTTTGAGCACCGCTCTAATAAAAGCGCCTGGAGCGTCTTGTGTATTAGTGTCTCTGGGCTTCAACGTGGCAGTGGGGGTGCTTTTTCTAAAGTTTGTCAAACGAGCTTTAGTTAAAGTGCCCCCCCAGCCATTTTGAAGCACAAGGAGATACGGAGGCTGGTAATTACAATGCTCCAGCAGACTCGATTGAGTCTGCTTCAATACACTGTTATTACAGCATGTTGGAGCAGCCTCCCGACTCATGTACAGGCACCCAAAGTATTCAGATACTCTTGTAGTGGGTGCTGTAGAAAGTACTAACATAGCCTGGTCTGTGGAATCCATTCTAATTAGGTAGAGTGTATACAGAAATGGACAGTATACTATATTCCTGGCTGTTTGAGGAGCAAAGCATCATGTCTCAGCATTTGCACTCAGTTGCCAAAATCATTGCCATTCCATGCCAGCATGTTAGGTCACCTCTGAGCTTACCATGGCAAGTCCTAGTCTCTTGACCTGCTTAGTCAGAAGTAATTGTATGAGGTGGTGTCAAGCCTTGTGCAGCCTGCACACTGACACTACTACATGGCATAACACATCATATAAAAGAAGCCCACTCTAGATGGGGAAGGGGTCATGAAATGCAGGGCACATGCAGGTCCTGCCTCAGCAGCTGTTAGTAGTATGCATGCCAGAAGTGGCTCAGCCTTCTCAGTACTTGTAGGTATAGCTTTGTTCAAGCACAAAAGCAGCAGCCTTTGCAGCTGACCCTCACTTTCCTCCTGGAAGCAGAAAGGTGAGCCCAAAGATGCTACTAATGTGTCCTCAGCCATAAATAAAACTAGTGATACAAGTTGCTACCCTATGTAAGCAACCAGACTATATCAGTGACTGGGAATCTGTATAGGCTCCCCCAGCTATGATGCCCAGCCTTTACCTTTTCTTAGTCTGGGGACAGAAATTATCCATTTCTGCTCCTTCCATGCACTGGGTGTGCTGCAAGGGTATAATTTAGTATCTGACTTATACCATGCAGGAGCAGTCTGTACTGTCATTCATGTAGTGATTGGCAGGCAGTGCATTGTTGGATTATAAACTTGCTGTAATATCTCTATTCCATTTTTTCATTATATTTCCATGTCGTTATTCAAGCTGATTGCTTCTGGTGATGGCAGACAGGTGGGTTTTGGTTCGGTCTTAACCCATTTATAATCATTGGGATAAATATCAGCAGCATCAGAGACGCTTGTGTAGGAAATTAAGGGATTGGTGGAGCATTCCCATAATGCTCTTTGACCTCTCTCCATAACTATTGCTGCCATGAATTTAGTGATATTGGTCCCATAGTTAGGGCCTGAAAAAGACCTAAAGAGCCCAATCAGCAAGATTTACACCATTGAAATAACATCTGTATTTTTAAAGCCAAAAACAGTTACCTGAAATCAAACAACTATTGGTAAACACCGTTCCTTGCACAAGAAAGTTGTGGGACTTAATGCAAAAGCATAGTATCTTGCAGGCATTTCAAATATCGTTAGGCATTCATAATGTCAGTAAAAAGTATAAAAGTTACTCGCAGGTTTACTGGAGGAGAAACTGGATGTAAAGTGGAGGTCTAACCAAAGTTTGCATTCAGATGCACTCCCCTTCTTAATGCCAAAGGCCATAAGGCATGCGCTAAAGTCACAGAAGGCAATCGGAGTCTTTCCATTAATTTCAGTGAATTCTTTGATCAGCCCCTTAGAGTATGAGGAGGGGCGTTTTTGCTTTTCGGTTTTTGTTTTTTAAGCACAGAGGGAACTGTGCAAACTGGGAAACATTGTACATTGCTTCTGACAACAACATCTGTTGGGCTGGAGTTTCATCTTCTGAGGACACCTTGTTCCATGTTAGTCATGCATAGTAGATTCCAAGCAGCTAGAAATGCCAAATGGAGAATTGCCCCAGTGCAAGGGAATGCTACCAGCAGGCGGCTGGTGGATGAGGCTCTGCTGCTGCCTATTCCAGCAGCCCCAACCTCCAGTGTAAGGAAAAGGAGGCAGGTCAGGATAGGACATGGATGAGACAGAGCAGGGAAGTAACTGTAATTTTCTCCGTGCTTAATAAATTTTGGCTTTAGTGAAAAAATAGAGGTATTGATCTGTATATCAAAATATGTAGTAAAATATCTAGTTTGCCAAGTCACGTGGGAAATATTGAGTGTCTGATACCATTTTACATAATCATATTGCTATTATAAACATTGCGGTTACATTGTCTCATGAATAAATGCAAAATAGAATATTTCTGTAGAAACAAATTTAATACGCTTTTTTTCAGACTATTTAAAAATCAATTGTTACAGATATTGACGAATGCCGAGAGATCCCTGGAGTCTGTGACAATGGAATCTGCATAAATATGGTTGGCAGCTTCAGATGCGAGTGTCCTGTGGGATTCTTCTACAATGATAAGTTACTGATCTGTGAAGGTAAGAGGCTTATACTTTTGTCACATAGAAATGGGGGCATTATTAGCCTTTTGGCAGTTCAAACACTGGCAAATCCAGTGTACTTGCAAATCCATCCATAACAGGGGAAAGTTCTGGGCTCAGTAAAATGTGAGTTGGGCAGGACTTTAAATAAAGCCATTTTAGCTTCTCCCTGGAAATTCTGTTGCACATATATTTTCTGTTGCTTCCTGATTACCAGATTTTCCAGCTAATCTATAAAGACCTTGAATCAGTATGAGTCAACATGTTATGGCAAGTAAATCTTCCCACTTTTCATAGTCTGGAAGTAAATAAGTACATTGGGTGGTCTTACATATGTCAGGTCACAAGAACACTGTTCACTTTCAAGTTGATATTTTGTTTCTAAGGAAAACAACATTTGTGTAAATATTTCAAAAACAAGATCAAAATTTTTTCAATGGATTTTCATATTGGGTAAATCTGTATAAATATTCTCTAGCTTAGTCACTGTCAACAATCAAAGATTATGGTAGGAATTTCCTTCATTCCCTGTTGTGGTTATGAGACTCACTGACCACTGAATTGCAACATCAGGACGCATAGGTTACATAACAAGAAACTGAAAGCACAGATATGATAGCGCCAATCTGAAAACACCCAAAAATGCCAGGTCTTTTGATGTATGGTGGGAGAATTCATTTTTCTTAAAACCTCTAGTGGGCTAGGTGGATATAGTACACTGATTTCAGCTAAGTTGTACCAGTTAACTCTCATGTATATATAGCCCCTGTGTTTCCTCCTCAGGAAGGCATAGTTTTGTTTCTAGAGAAGGTAGGTGACTTATTATTGGCCATGAACTGGTGTTAATGTCCAATGATAGAAATTTTCCAGAAATGTTTCTGGGACAGGGAGTGCTACAGTCTGAAACTTCCCCCCCTCCCCTGTTCTACATGCCTTCCCAAAACCAGTCTAGGGGCAACTCCCCCTTCCCCAAGCCTGCAGCAGGGAAGTGTAGAGACATTTGTTCTCCTGGGAGAGTTTCTCCTGGGAGCAATCTCTACCAGGTCAGAGACGGGTTATTTTTCTCTGAGAACTACCATTTTTGTTCTATGAGAAAATATGTGAATGCCTATATGCCACAGCTGCTGCCTGTGGGATTAGCACCCATCACAGGGACAAGAGGAGAGCAGATGGTGGCTGTGCCCCAGGCTCCAGCCCCGTGCTGTCACTGCCCTGTGATCCCAGCCTCATTCACCTGCCCACTCCTGGACACCAGCCTGCAGCCCCATCCCAATTGCCTGGTCAAGCATGCCCTGCCAACATGGGTCGTGGGTCAGTCTCCATGGAAACCCTGCCCCTTTGTCCAGCTGAGCCCTCTGCTGCCCCTGGTTGTGGGTGCAGGGAAAATAGGCCAGAGTGCCCAGGCAGTGGGGCCAGGGCTGGCAGTGGTGGTGCAGACAATGGCAGTGGTAGCCAGAGTGTGATGATGAGAGTAAGCCACCACTGTGGGGGCTACCAGTAAGCCGAGTCCAGCTGCTAGGCTGCCTCCACCCCACTGCTGCATCTCCCAGCCCCACAGACCACAGCTCCTGGCATGCACAAGAGCTACATGGAGATGCGGAGGGCTGTGTTCCACACTTGGTGGCACCTCTGCGCCCAGTGGTGGCAGGACTGGGTGCATGCCCAAGCTGCTCCCTGTGCCTGGACCAGGCAAGGCTGACGAACCTACCATGGGCCAGATGGAATCACTTGGCAGGCCATATCCAGCCCAGGGGCCATATATTGTCCACTCCTGTTCTAACAATTGACAAAGGCAGTACCATCTTATAGCCCCCCACCAAATGGTCAGTGTATTTTCAGGGAAGCTGGTAAGTCATGAAATCCAAGGGCTTGGTAGCAGGCCACCCAGAATAGTACTTTGCTTTCTTAAAAGTCCTTTGTGTTGTGTTGTGTTGTGTTGTGTTGTGTTGTGTTGTGTTGTGTTGTGTTGTGTTGTGTTGTGTTGTGTTTGTTGGGGGGGTGGGAGCGAACGGGACATGTATTATACCTAAATGAATATACAACTTCCATCACAGCTGTGTTCCAGGTAGGGGAATTAACATGAGCTGCATTCAGTTTTGTTTCTCCTGCTGCTGTGTAAGTGTTACTATTGTATAACATTACAGCACAGCAGAAATGTTCATGATATAATGCTGAAAGGAAGTCTCATTCTTGTTCTTACCTCCAGTCCCCAGTCTGAGTCAGGTTTCTTACTGGTGCTCTTTTAATCTTTGTAGGTAATAGTATTTGCATTATTCAGAAAAATGGGAGTTTTGGATCCTGTCTGACTATAGGATTATATACAACAGTAGTTCTGGAGTATGGTGATGGTCATGATCGTCCAGGAAACAAGTGAGAAGCAAGGACTTTTTGGTGATACCTTTTATTGGACCAACTGAATAGTTAGGAGACATATTAATATTCAGTTGGTCCAAAAAGATATTACCAAAAAGCTTCGTTTCTTGCGTACAACTACAGTTATTCTGAATGGGTGTGTCCCATTCAACCTAGTCACCCACAGTAAATAAACAGGGCTGAGTTTACCAAACTGTAACCAGAGGCCAATATTACAGATGGAAAATGTTGTTCATCCATCAGCTCTGCGAGAGCCAGCCATGAGGAAAATTAGCTAGAATTACATTCAGTTTAAGAACCTTCAGAAGCCAGTAAACAAAGAGAGAGAGAGCGAGCCACGCTTCAACAAGGGGCTAGAAAGAGTGGAAGTTTTGCAGGTTGTGATCACCTGTATAACTACCACCCCCTTTGGATTGTTAACGCTGAAAGAAAATTCATAGTCACATCCCTTCATGTCTGGCTCCTCTAAAGATCAGGCAGTTCTCATATATGGGCCTTAATGCTGCATTAGGATGTGTGTGGGGTCTCTTGTCAACTTCAGTGGAAATCCATGTTGTTAAAGCTGCCATCCTCCTTGGAGCTCAGTACAAGAACAGGGCCACAAATTGAAAGGCAGCCAGATGCAAGGTTCCAGCCAAAGGCCTGTACAACATGATTGGCTTTGGAAGAGCCTTCTATTCATCCAATGGATGGGGACAGATTAAAAGGATGGAGGAAGCAGACTTAGGAAAATCTGCAGGAAATGTTTAAAAACAAATCTAAAAATCTCCTTTCAGTGAATTGTTTAATACAAATAAATGTAAAAACAACATGCATAAAATCCTTACATGTCAGCTGGGGGCATTTTCTTAAAATGAAAAATGTGCTTCTGTTTCAATTTTTTATTGTCAGTTTGTCCTAACAATCAAATTCCATCTTGTGTTGATAGATATTGATGAATGCCAAAATGGGCCAGTATGTCAACGAAACGCAGAATGTGTCAACACAGCTGGGAGCTATCGCTGTGACTGTAAACCTGGCTACAGGTTCACCTCAACAGGCCGTTGCACAGGTCAGTATTCCCCAGCTTACTTATACAATGGTATACGGTACATAGTGACTGAAAAACAGCCTTAAACATATATGTATGCCCTACTTTAAAAGACTGCAGGATTTGTGCATTGTCCTGAACAAATATGCAACCAAATTATTTTTATGAGCTTTTTGCCTCTTGAAACTATTTACTGGCTTTTGTGAATGTTTTGTATTTTTATTATCATTGTCATGATTTATAAACTTAATTCTTTCAGAAGTCTGAGTGTATGCTTGCAAAATCAGTCTAGCCAGAAAATCTAACAGACGCTGAACTCTCTTTGGCCTTAAAATTGTATCCTTTTGCTCCAAAACTGATTAGAGAACATACATGAAATTTTTCAGGAAAAATCTAATAGAAAAATGGTCCCTCATTTAAAAGACTGCTTGATACTGTGCTGGCTGCTAGTGCCACTGTTGCTAGTAAGGCACTAAATGTAGTTAAATAAGGGCTTATAAGTTGGCCTTTACAGATAGAGATAGAAATGCATGTGTGCACATGTGGCTGTGTACACATCCCACGTCATTGACTATTAGAGCTGGCTATGCAATTATGCAGGGGTTATCAGCTGGGGGGGTACGCATACCCACAGAGGTATTTGAGAAGGCCCATGGGGTTCCACGTGGGCAGGGATGGAGTGCTGGCACGCGCCATCCTGCGCAGGCGCTGCCTGCCTGGCCGCATGCACAAGGCAGGGGAAGGTCGCACGTGGCGGCTGCCACCGATCAGCGTCCAGCCACATGCCACCCCTGCTCAGCATCCAGCCATGCACACCCCCCGCCAAAAGGTTGAAAACCACTACACTAGTGCAATGTGGTATATTAAGCCTATTTCAATAAAACACCTGTTTCTGTCATTCAATTAATTACCCCTAAAGAAAAAGAAAAAGTAGAAACAACCTAAATTAAAAAAAAACACCTTATGAATGCTAAAGTTCCAGTCAGAAACATCCTAAAAAGCTAAGAGGTAGCTTTCTAAAGATGCAAAGGCCTATGAGTATGTAGTTGGGTATCAAACTGACATTTGCGCCAACCTACCTCTAAAGCTTCTTTCCTAACTTAAGTTTTCATGGACTTAAACTTGCCCTTGCAATTTATCTGTGAAGGTATGGCCAAGAAACTCAGTATCTTTCAACCCAGGGAATGTTTGGCCTCTCTTTCCTCTGTCTGTATATACCTCATGTAGTTTACATAATTGCTTGCCAGAATGTCTTAGCACATTATTTACCTCCTGGGTTTTCACAAATTAATCACTGCCATTTAGGGGTCATTGCTGATAAGGGAACCTCATTTGAAATGACTTATTCAGAAAGTTCAAGAATAAGCATTTAGGCTTTTATGGTCTTAAAATGGACTATGGACATTATTTTCAATACTTATTTGACTGGGCCTGGACTTCTCTGTTTTGTTCACTTTGTCTTTCAATGCTGTTACTGTAGCAACAGTAGTGTTCACATTATTTTGATTATTTAAGGAATCACAAAGACTATGTGAAGTATTATGAGCCAAATGACCATAAATATTGTATACATTTCTGAACAAAGTAATAGCTGCAAAGGAAATTAGTAAAATTTTCCTTGGATTTTCTGCCCCTGTGTATTTGAGTTTTAGGAAGTGCACCTTTCCCTGCAGCACTGTTTTACATTGTTTTATGAGACCTTCAGGGGAA